CTGGTTACTATTGATATCCGGATAATTATTCGGATATCTGTCGGATTATCCGGATATTAATAGTAAATGGATATCCAGATAAATTTGGATATAGATAAATGGATGACGGATTTATCCGGATTGGAACTCTAATTAATACTAATATATTGCTTATATAAACATTAATATTTTCTTATACTATATAAGTTATCCCAAAACTCTGGGTGATATTATTCGTAAAAACAAATATCATAGCATGCAAACATTTTAGAACATTTAATAAAATAAATCAATTCATTTAAGATTCAACTACTTTACAGTTAGTTATTCACGTAATGAAATATATAAAATTATTCACATTTTGTAAAGCATAAAGATGCATTAGTTCCTCCAAATCCAAATGAATTTGTCAACGCAGCTCTAATACCGGGATGCTGTTGCGCATTTAATGGAACGTAATTGAAAGATAAAAAATCAGAAGCAGGATCACCAGGATTGTGAAGATTTAGAGTTGGCGGAAGAATATTCTATCAATTAAATAAATAAGAATTAGAGAATTTTTGTAAAGAAAGTCACCGAATTGGTAACTTACATGATATATTGCCAAAATAGTACATATAGCTTCAACAGCACCAGCAGCTCCTAATAAATGGCCTATGGATCCCTTGATCGATGATACCGCTAATTTATGAGATGCACCAGAGTTTTCAAAAATTGACTTGATTGCACGATTTTCAGCAAGATCTCCTAAAGATTTTTTATTATTACTGTAATTAATTTTGATGTAAATTTCAAGTATGACACTAGGGAATATTTAATACCTAATAGGGTTGATGTAGCATGAGCATTAACATAATCAATATCACTTGGTGATAATTTAGCATGCTTTAATGCTCTTCGCATAGCCAATTCAGCTCCAGCTCCATTTTCTAGTGGAGCTGTCATATGATATGCATCACCTGTTGTGATAAACTAATGCATGAGTAAATATAATTAACTGAAGAAATAAGTGAATTTTATATTACCTGATAATCCATAACCTCGAATTTCAGCATACATATGTGCACCTCTATTTTTTGCATGATTATATTCCTGTGTTAATACAAAAAAAAAAAAATAATAATAATAATAAATAAATAAAATTAATTAGACAATGCATAAATAAATAAATAAATAAATAATTCCAACTGACAAACCTCAAGTACTACTACTCCAGCGCCTTCACCGATGACAAATCCATCTCGATCTCGGTCAAATGGTCTCGAAGCTTCTTCTGGCATATCATTATATTTAGTGACTAATGATTTGGCTCTGTTCCACGGAAAAAATATAATATTATTTATAATATCAGAAAAACTATATATTGATAAAAATAACTTACTTTGCAAATCCAGCAATAGTCAAAGGTAATATGCTAGCTTCAGATCCACCGGCAATCATAACGTCAGCGTCTCCAAACTGAATAAATCTACTTGCATCGCCAATAGCGTGTGCCCCAGTTGTACATGCTGTAGATACTGCGTGATTTGGCCCCTTTAAGAAATTAAAAACATTATTATATTTACATACTTATAAAACAGAAAGTTTTGAAGAAATTGAGATAACTTACACGAAATCCATATTTCATTGTTAAGTGACCTGCGGCCATATTTATTAATATTTTTGGCACAAACATTGGACTTACCTTCTTCGGTCCCTTGTGTACAAATATACAATTTTATATATGAATAAATAATATTTTACGAAATCAAACAAGTAGTAGTTTATGGAATCAACATACATAATTTTCAAATGTCATAGTATTTGAGATAACATCTTCAAGACTCCCAATTCCTGATCCTATGCACACACCCTAGGTATTCATAGATCATCTTTTAACCAAAAAAATACCAATATTTTTTTTTTGCAAAATTTTTTTTAATGACACATACAGTTCTCTCTTTTTCAAAATTTGATAAGGGAGCCCATTCAGCATCATTCAAAGCTTGTTTTGCAGCACAAATAGCGTATTGAGTAAATAATGACATTTTTCTTTCATCCTTAATTATTTTAAATAAACTATTAATCACTTTATATATTAAAATTTATTTAATCAAAATTTCACTTTAATTACCCCAGGATCTAACCATTCTTTTGGATCAAAACCTCCATAATTATATTTTCCAGGTTTTACCGTTCCGGCAACAGTTGATGATAATTCATTAAATTTTCCCACCTTTCCTTCAGGGGTTTGATTAACACCAGGTTTACTGGTAGTATCACTTGATTTTAAAGATATTATACCACTTTCACTATTGATTAATTTTTTCCATGAAGATTCTACACCACTTGATAAAGGTGTAACTAAGCCTAAACCTGTTATTACCACTCTGCGAGAAGACATTATTATGTAAAAAAAAGAAAAAAAAAGACGACTTAGATCTTGATTATGCAGTGATGTAACACAACTATAATTTTTGAAGCGTTCACATGAAAATTAACTATAAAAAAAAACTATCGCAATATTGCCAGTCCTGGATTGCAATCCCATCCAATCAAATCGTTCACATTTTTTTTTTTTTTTAAATTATAACTTATATCTGATATATATATAAAACGAAATTATATATATCTGATATACAGTCAACTCTATATATAACGAACTGACGAGTCTTATAGTAAAAAATTTTCAAAAGTTCGTTATATAGTAATTTACTATATTTTATATA